AAACAAACTGATTTTCTTAGATCACGATACGCTGGATACTATTTTTTGATTATCTAGATCGCTAAAATAATCGTTCCTTTACATTTTTTCGATAAAACAGGAATACATAGGTACAATTAGTGCATTCCCCATTCCCTTCGTCACCAAAAAGGACAAAGTGTATGATTTAAGAAACTTTTCACGTCTTAACCCACTGTGTTAGGACTCAGAGGGACTGTGTTACGATCCGTGTTCATTCAGAATTAAAAAAAACTAAAGATGCCCATTTCATTGTGAAAAAATGATTCAGAAAATCAGAAAATAAAATAATACCCTAGATATTAGAAAAAAAATACCCTAGATAATTGCCTCAGATAATTGGAAATTAGAAAAAGGGCCCCACTTAATCGCGAAAACAAGCCCCATGCCCTTGTTAATTCAAATAAAAGTGGCACACATAAACCGTCATGGTGTCTCTATGATAGACTAAACCTATCATAAATCCTTAATACACGCAATATGCTGATACGTCTGACTTGCTTTACCTCTTAAACTCTCCACGTTCAGCGTGCTGTCCTTGGCGTTTGCAGCTAACATATAAGAGCGCGCTCTAAAGCCCACCCTTTAATATACAAGCAATATAGATTGGAAAACTGAGTCAAGATGCAAAATGCTATACAACGGCAATCACTGAAGACTGAGTATGATGCTCTCAATGTCTGTATTAACCCAGTAGTACAGTACAATACTCAGACAACGCGATCAGTCTTTGCTTGCTTTTATGATTATATTCACCTTGAATTGATTCTAAGTTAATCACGTGCGAGCGTCTCAATAGTAACTCAGCCAAAGAGTGACTTCGGATGTGCTTTAATACCTCTGATGCGGGACAAGCTAGATCGCACTTAGTACGTGTGAGGTTACACCTCAGCCGCGTTATTTTACAGACAAACAAACAGACTGACGCACATACACACAAATACGTACAAATTAAACGTTCGGCATTTCCGACTTCGTAAATGAGAGTTAAACAGATAGAATGGATTCGTCATAGTCTATATATTGGTTAATTGTGCTAAAGTTACTATAGTGTAACGGGGTGAATCGTTACATAACAATTTATAAGAAATTGTTAATAGAATATAACTGTAAGAGTTATATTCTCAGAATATTGTCATAAGGGCAATATTCTGCAGCACTTTCGAGTAGTTCCTACTTGGTTGATATAGGCCATTATATCAACCAACGAAGACGCGCCACGACAGACGCACGCAATGAGTGGTGAGCAGATAGTTGATTTACACATTTGTATTTAGACATAGTTAGATGAAGATAAATAGTGATTTATTGCAGACATTAACTATACTAAAGACAGTTCTACTTTTTACTTTAACCAAGTACTCGCTTCTTCTTACCGTCTTCCTCTGCACGTACGAGTGTACGTGAAGTTACGAGGCACCGCCTTATTCTGTCATCAGAATAAGTAGCTTGTACTGTCACCAGTACAAGCTTCAGGGTGCCCCGTTACACCTGGTAGCACTTCGTAGTCCGTCCAAGGACCGCGTTCACATCCAACATGAATATGTTGGATGATGAAGATGACCAAAGCTTTCACGCTACGCGTGACGGCTACTCCCATTTGAGCGATGTCGAATGGGATGCGGTTGAACGAATGGGTTCAACCATGGGCATCCATGCTGTTAGCGTCATGCTAGAGGCTCTCAATAGAGATGCCCAACATGCTACTATCGCCAAGTTCATTCAAAATGAACTTGACGCAGAACGCGAGAAAGTAGCCTTGCTTCACCAACAAGGTTCTCAACAAGCAGAGTTGTTGAGAGAACAGGGTGCTCAACAGTTTGAACTGTTGAGACAGCAGCAGGCTGCTGCTGGTGGGTCGATGCACTCGCGTCGACCCGAGACTTTAAAGATTGACATCTCTAAGTATAGGGGAGTCGAAGAGGACTCCCTCTTGAGATGGTTCGTCGAATTGGATGACGCCATAAGGGCGCGTCGCATCGACGATGGGGAAATGCAAGTTGCATTTGCCCAGTCAAATCTGGCAGGACGTGCCAAGACTTGGGCACTGGGGCTCACGTTGCGCGACCCATATGCGTTTGGGTCGTTAGAAGTCTTCAAGTCGCGGCTCAGACAAACGTTTGAACCGCCTAGAGCTGAGTTCAGAGCTCGAACTGAACTCTTAAAGCTCAAGCAAGGTAAGCGTGATGTGCACGCTTACGCACAACATATACGACATCTCACGAGTTGTACAAGTTCCAACCCGGTTGATGAACACACGTCGGTTTCGGTGTTCATGCAGGGTCTTGCGGATGGTCCCGTCAAGACTCACCTGTTCCGACTTGAACTAGATTCACTAGAACAAGCCATTTCCATTGCGGAACAGAAAGACTTCAGTCTGAGACAGGCTCGCGCCAGCTCGACATCATATCGTCAACCGAGACGATATGACAACGGAGGTCCAGAGCCGATGGAACTCTGTAATGTAGAGATCGAGAAGGCTCGCTCTACAGACTACAAGAAGTTGCAAAAATGCAACAGATGCCAAAAGACAGGACACTACGCTTACGAGTGTAGTGCCCCTCGTCCAGTGTCTCGCGACACTGGGCGTAGTGACCGTCCACCCATGAGAAAGGGGCAGGGACGAGGGTCCGCAGTTGGTGCAAAGACGCAACAACGGGATGGACCGTCAAAAAACGGACAGGATCAGTAGGTGCGGAGCACCCTACTGGTCCAGCAACGTCAAGAGAATTTGTAGGCCTCTTGATGAAGGTTGCTCCCAACACACAAACGTTGTGCGTTGCTGCTCTAGGTAATGAGGTCTCACTCATTACCTTGAAACTCGAAGTGACGAATAAGTTGTCCCTTCGAGCTCTAGTCGATTGTGGGGCGTCCAACAATTTTGTGCGACGCCAATCGCTAGAAGATGGTCACTTTAAATTCAGTGAATGTGACACACCTCCTACGAGGATGACGGTACGTCTTGCGACAGGCGCATCCGTAACCGTCATGAAGCGTATAGTGAAGATCCACTATACGCTAGAACATACCCAATATGACGATGACTTTATCGTATTGGATTTGGATGACAAATTTGATGTCATCCCTGGAATACCGTGGCTCAGAAGGTACGAACCACGGGTAAACTGGCAACATCGAACAGTAACGATGCCTGCCGCTTGTTCATCAGATGGCCATCTGATGAACGTTTTGGAGCGTCCACAAGCGTGTGGATGTACTACGAGTGAGTGAGATGGCCTCACTTGTGGTACGGTCGTTAGTACGACTGCACAAAACCTTAGTGTACCAAACGGTTACACTTCGGAGCAAAGTTCCGGCGGCTGTGAGGAAACACAGGCTGTGCCGAAGGTCCACCACTCGAATAAGTCGAGTAGACTGGGACTAAGATGCATCCCTAGCGGGGAACATCTAGAAGAGAAACAATCGATCGCTCAGGTTAAGCAAAACGATAATCCTAGATCGACTGGAGAGTCTTTCGTAGAGGATCTCGCTGTGGTTGCGCAACCCCAGCTAGAGGAAGTTAAGGGAATAAGTCCCGATATTACAAATACGGTGGTAACAAGTTCCCCGAAACCCGCGGGAATAAGTCCCCGGGAAGCCGAAGGAATAAGTCCTTCGAAGCCTGAGGGAATAAGTCCCCAGGAACTGACAGAGACATTGAATGTCATAGTCAATAACGGATCAAGTGTAGGCACTTATACACTTGATCTGATTGCGCCTCCGAAGTTGACTTCGGAGATCACTCAGTTGCCAACGCTCGAACATAAAAGGTTCTTGCGTGATCTGCGTAGTGGCAAAGTCAAGCAGATCTGCGTACTCGTCGCTGGCGACGAGTGTGTAGCCGACACAAGGTCAGCAACAGTGTTTACTGAGAACGAGAGAGTTCTCAGTAGTTCATCTATGGACAAGAGTGTCCTAGATGAAAAGACACGAGTTGAGCGATATGACTCCCAATCGTAAGAATCGCTCAAGACAAATCCTCTCTATTAAGATTTGGTTGAATTCAAGGATGTATTCCCTGAAACTGTTCCGTGCGAATTACCGAAGGATAAAGGTATTTGTAATGGACCACCCCGTTACATAAGTAGGTTCGATTAAGTTTACATGTTACTTAAGTAGGGGTGTTACTTTCGGAGTAGCGAAAGTAGCACGTCGTATATTTTTGCTGGTTTAATGGGCTCAGTACCATTATTAGCCAGTAAGATATAGGCACGTAGATTGAGTGGTTCCCATGAGTCCAAGGGAACCATTCGTACTTAGGATGATTTAAAAGACAAAAATATAAACAGAGTTAAAAGTACATAATACCTAAGACTTGGGCTTTAAGCTTCCTCAAAGCGTTAGAAATAGTGTACGCTAAGTACGGGTCATTCTAGCCCCATTACACCTGGTAGCACTTAGTAGTCTTTCTCATGCCCGAGTTTGGGATGAGCGATTCGTCGTACTTTGACGCTCCAGACGTGAGTCTGGAGCACGCGACTTTTCCCCATCTCACTGGTGTTGAGTGGGATGCCCTAAATCGCCTCGCGGCGATATCTGGAGAGGCATTCGTTGTGTCGCTGATGAGATCAGCGACTCCTGATGGACAGCGTCTCGCCATACACGAATACATGGCTCGCGAGCTCGCTGAATCCCATCGGCGAGGTTTAACTCCCTCGCGGACTTCACGGAACGATGCCGTGAAGATGGAGACATCCGCCTATTCTGGCGAAGGAAAAGAACGCTTTTCGTTGTCTCGTTGGTTTCGAGAGGTCGACATCGCTATCGCCTCGAGACTTCTCGAGGCTCCTCAAGCGAAGGTCAATTTCCTTCTTTCCCGTCTCACTGGGAAAGCCAAGGAGTGGGCCTTGGGAAAACTCGTTGTTGACGAGTTTGCGTTCCCCACTCTGGAAGCCATCCAGAGTGACCTTTGACTCGCCTTCGAGCCGCCCCAGGAAGAGAAGTTGGTGCGTTCAAGGTTCCTGTCCCTGCGACAGGGTAAGATGTCCATGCGCGACGACGTGCAGATGGCTCGACATCTGGCGTCTTGCATTATCACGCATCCCATGCACATTTATACACAAGTGAACGTGTTTGTCGATGGCATGCGTGAAGGGCAGACTCGCCTCTCGCTGGAACGAGCAGAGCCTGCCACGTTGGAGGAGGCTTTCGCTATCGCTCCCCGTGAGGACTTCAGAGTCATCAAGGCCTATACCAAGCCTTCAGTTGTTACCGCTGTCAGATCAGCGGGCCCGGAACCTATGGAGATCGATGCAATTGAGTCGTCGGGTGACCGACGACGCGCTACAGACTACAAGGGCGACGTCCGAGGCGGACGTCAGATGATCTGCTTTCGATGCCGAAAGCCGGGACATCGCGCGGCTGAATGCCGCGCGCCAGCACCGATTTCGGTGCATGCGACGGACACCCATCATAGGGAGGTTCTTCGATCAGTCGTCCAAAAAATGGACGAGACCAGTAGGTGCAGGGCGCCCTACTGGTTTGAAGGGAGGTCCGGGTCCACCGGTGGAGCCCGACCTCCCAGCCCATCTGTGCTGCGTGCACGGTCAAATGCCACCACTACGAGTGGTGATTCACGCCTGATTATTGTTAATCTACATGTCGCCGGTATCCGGCGACCTCTACGAGCGCTCCTGGATTCAGGAGCGACAAACAATTTCTTCCGTGAATCTTGCGTGTCAATGCTGCCACCCAGCATCCAGATCCACGAGGGACCTGGCCAAGTTGTTGTCAAGCTCGCTGACGGGAAACCACGCCGCGTATCGCGGCGCGAAGTGTCGTTGCCGTACACGTTTGACGGCTTTCGCAGTAACGACAATTTCTTGGTGATTGAAATGAATTATTCATTCGATTGCATCCTGGGCATGCCATGGTTGGCACGCTATAAGCCCCAGATCGACTGGTTAGCCAGATCAGTGAGACGTCGAAGCAAGTTCGACGTCAGCGAAGTGTTCACCCATCTCTTGGTGTCTCCAAGTGATTGGCCGAACGTTACAGTCGTGGATCGTACATCCACGACACCGGCGGTACACAGAGTGAGCAATGGCCATCTCTGTACCGCTTGTTCCGTGCCCCTACGCACGAGTGATGATGTCTCCTCGCTTTGCAGCGAGGAGTCCGACGTGGACGAGGAGTGGCTCCCGCGTAATGACGACGCGGACAAGCAGTGGCTCCCGCGCGACGACGACGCGGTCGAACAGCGGTTCCCGCACGAGAGAGCAGTGGTCGAACACGAACAAGTGTTCCCACCTGCACCCATTGTGGTCGAGAAGAGGCTCCCACAAGGGCAAGATGTGGCCGAGCAGGGGCTCGCCACCGAGTGTGACGTGAATGGACAAGAGTCCCCACGTGCGAAAACGATGGTCGAACAGGGGTTCCCATCGTCGCCTACTGTGGTCGAACAGAGTTTCCCACATGAGCAAGACGTGGTCGAGCAGGGGCTCCCACACGAGTTTGTGGCGGTAGAGCAGGGGCTCCCGCATCATGCGTCGACGGACGAGTATGGACTACTCCCGTCACGCGATTTCGACGTCCTGGATGAGGACATCCAGCGTCTAGAGGGGGTGCAGATTTAACACCTAACTGCGGTTCGCCAGCTTCGAGCATGGACTCGAAGCACGATGGGGACGCAAGCTACGAGAACTCAGCGTTGGAATGTGTCCACGCTATTGTGTACGTGGACGGGAGTCCACAAAGGCGCCAATACATTGAGGTCGCGAGTCCACCTCGCGACGCGTCGTCGATTACGAGCCTTCCAGGACTCTCCTGGAAGCATTTTCTACGTGACCTCAAGGGAGGCACGGTGGAACAAGTATGTCTGGTCACCAACGAGGTGACCTATCAGCCGAATGAGGAGCGAATGACGCGCCCTCGAAGCGCTGAGCAAAAGTCAGCGCGCGAAGAAAGATTTGCGTCGCAATCTTGGGAGGCTCTGCGCGAGTCTGGTAATCCTGTTTACGACATTGCACGAGAGTACGCCGACGTGTTTCCGGACAAGATTCCGGCCGAACTCCCTGCCGATCGTGGCGTGCGGCACGAGATTGATCTCGTGCCAGGATCGAAATATTGTGTGACACGCCAGTGGCCGTGCCTCGAGACCAAGTCGAGGCTATTGATGCATTCTTCGAAGGTCGTCGCAAGGCCGGTCATGTGCGTGAGAGTTTCTCACCCCATTCGAGCCCAACCTTCTGCGTGAAGAAGGCTACGGGAGGCTGGCGTATAGTGCATGCGTTTAACAAGCTCAACGATGCCACTATTCCTGCCCAAACGCCTATCCCCAGGAAAGACATGGTTCTAAACTCCATGTCAGGTAGCGTCATCTTCAGCGCCATCGATCTGACCGATGGATTCTACCAGATCTTGATGCGACAGAGTGACATACCACTCACTGCGGTATCCACCCTAAGTGGTATGCTATGAGAGTGGCTGGTGATGCCACAAGGATTGAAGAACGCACCAGCCACTTTCAATCGCATGGTATCTCAAGTGTTGAGACCGCTTCGAGACTTTGCTCCTAGCTACTTCGATGACATTTTTGTCCACAGTCGCGCTGAGGGCAACCTCAGTGCTGTCCAAGTTCACCTTCAACACCTGAAGCAGGTGTTTCAAGTCATGCGAGATAACAAGTTATATGCAAACTTGAAGAAGTGTGTATTCTGTGCACCGGAGATTCCGGTGCTGGGCTGCTACGTGAGTAAATCGGGTGTTAGAGCCGATCCAGAGAAGGTGTCGTCAATCTGTTCTTGGCCCACACCCAAGAACCCTACGGAGTTACGTCAATGGCTCGGTCTAGCTAATTACTTGCATAAGTACACAAAGGATTACGCCGGTTCTATACAGCCCCTGTCGTCACTTCTGAAGAAAGACGCCACGTGGTCGTGGCGTCCCGAACATCAAGCAGCCTTTGACGCAGTGAAGAAGAGCCTGGCGTCGGCGCCAGTTTTGATACTCCCTGACGACACCAAGCCGTTTCACGTGGTGTGTGATGCAAGTGACTTTGCAATTGGTTGCGCCCTCATGCAGTTCGATCATGAGGGCCGTGAACGAGTCGTGAGCTACCAGTCACGACAGATGAAGCCGGCAGAGAAGAACTATCCGGTTCACGATAAGGAACTGCTAGCGATGCGCTATGCACTCATCAAGTTTTGTGTCCACCTACCGGGCGAACGCACGTTCGCCCTGTATACTGATCATGCATCTCTGCGAACAGCAATGAAGAGCTCACACCTGTCACAGCGGATGGCACGGTGGCTCTCTTCTTTCTCCGAGTACAACTTCGTCGTGCACTACAAGCCAGGCAAGACCAACATTTTGCTGACGCACTGTCACGACGCCCAGATTACGATCCTCGTATGGCACTGAGTCGTCAGGCAACTAACGACGAAGATGAAGACGATCGATGTGCGACGTGTGTGTCGTTGAATCTAACTCGGGTCACACCCGAGTTATGCCTTTTCGATGAAATGTCGCGGCTTACGCGAACGACCCGGATTACGCAGACATTATCGCCTATCTCCGCGCTCCTAGTGAGGCTGCACTGGGAGCTCTTTCGCGAACGAAGCGTGATCACATTCAACGATACAGTATGAACGGTGATTTGCTGCTATATAGCATCGACAAATTCGATGCACCTCGAACGGTGATTGCGAATGACTTGGATTTGCGTGCTCGTATCATCCACGAGTACCATGATGCCCCAATTGGCGGTCATCTGGGCCGCGAAAAGACATTCGCGGCTGTCTCGCGTGACTTATTCTGGCCCCACATGTACAAATGGGTTCGCAACTGGGTTCGCACCTGCGAAATATGTCAGCGCGTGAAGCCATCTCCATCGTCGCAGGCACCCCTGCGACCCCTGCCAATTGCAGCTGAGGATTGGAGCTCAGTCTCAATGGATTTTATCTTCGGGCTTGCACCAGATGGCCAAGACCGAACGGGTATTCTGGTCTTTGTCGACAGATTCAGCAAGATGACACATCTGGTGCCTGTTCATGCAACGATCACCGCGGCTGAGACCGCGGTGCACTTCGTTGACACTGTGTTTCGCCATCACGGTCTACCAGACAACATTGTCTCGGACCGTGATCCTCGTTTTACATCTTCTTTTTGGACGTCACTGTTCGAGTTGCTTGGCACAAAGCTGCAAATGTCGACAGCAGCCCATCCGGAAACGGATGGGCAAACAGAGCGAGTTAATCGGGTCCTCGAAGATGTTCTTCGAAGTTACGCAACGTCCTTTACAAGTTGGAGTGCGTTTTTGCCACTCGCGGAGTTTGCACTAAACAACGCGGTTCACGCGTCAACGGGGTTGACGCCATTTTTTGCAAATTCGGCCCGTCATCCTCGTGTACCTACTCTTCTTGCCGTGGGTCAGCCCACGGCTCTTCGTGGCTCCACTCTGGCGGGGGTGATAACGATAAACAACGATCGAGTGAAGCTCACGGTATTCTGAGCGCGAATGCTGTCAACTATTCCAAGGCGAAGTCTTCTGTTTCGACTCCACGTGACGTGGCGTCCCCGCTCGCTCAATGGACTGCACAGACGCTGATCGATCCTTCTTCGAGTATGCGAAACCCTAAAGCTAACTACGCGCCGATTGAATCGGCGCGACCAATTGATGACATGGCTGTGTCAGAGTTTATACTCCAACGTCAAGCCATCACGAGGTTTGTACGCGATACTCTTCGATCTGCAGTGGATAAACAGAAAGCGAATGCAGACAAACGTGGAAGAAAGAACACGAGTACATTCAAGAAGGGTGATCGTGTATTGTTAACTACCAAAGGCCTACGAGATTCAGCAGTAACCAATCTAGGCGCGAGCAAACTCGCGCCACGTTTCGTCGGACCATTAACGGTAGTCAAGGCGATCGGCGACGCATACACGCTGGCCATCCCTTCGTCACTGCGACTTCACCCGACGTTTTACGTCGGGCGGCTCAAGGAGTACCGTCCAGCTACGCTTCACGGGTTGGCTCCGTCCTCGGAGTCAAAGGCTCATAGGTCGAACTTCCCTCTCGCCTTTCTCGACGCGCCAGCGACATCGGACGCGGCTGCGTCCCAGTCTGCGCGTGCCCAAGAACCTGGCGTTCCAGGTTCCGCATCCGTTCAAGCAGCTCGCGGTTCGACTGTCGAATCTCGTTCGCTGTTCTCTCAGCCCGCGCAGCTCGGTCAAGGGCAGCTTCAGCCTTCCAGCTGGGCATCAACAGCCTTGTTCACAGCCGCATCTACATCGTCCTGGGCAACCAGGACGCCAGCAGTACCATCGTGAGGGTCTACCACCGCTTGTGGACGCGGAAGGCCAGAAGCGCTGAATTGTGGAGCGTTTACTAAGTCACGAGGACCCTCGTCGCGAAACGACATCGTCGCGACACCATGAGCGCGCGGTTCCAACCGCGCACAAGTATCGTGTACGTTGGCTCGGGTTTCCACCCGAGCAGGATACGTGGGAACCGCGCTCTTCGCTTCTTCGAGACGTTCCGGACGTCGTTCGGGCTTACGAGTCCCTGCACACGCTTGGTGCAGACTTGGTCGACGACCTGTGTATTCTCGCGGTGAGCGAGAACGAGATGCACGACGACGGTGTCGTGGTGAAGTGTCACCACGACTACGAGACCGAGAGCGATTGCGAGAACGTCGTGGTGACGTTTCACCACGACGACGAGATGAAGAGCGACGACGAGAACGTCGCGACGAGCGTGTATCGCGACGATCACGCGAACGAGAACGTCGTGGCGAGTGCATGGCACCACGACCTCGAGAACGCGAGTCGTGTTGCCAGCGTGACGCGCCACGATTAACCGCAGTCTTGCGCTCCATCAAGCTGCGCTTGTATCGTCCGATCCAGAGCTGTTCATGCTCGCTGAGTGGATACTCAGCGACGTGTCGTTGCCAAGCTTCGCGAGTTGGACAGACATCGAGTCACAGGAATAACAAGATTCGTGCACGTGAACGTAGCAGAGTCGATCTACGTTCCATGCGTTTTCACAGATCTTCTCGCGCATTACACCGATGGAATGATCGGCGTGGATATCTTCACGATTGGGCAGCCACTGCTGAAAGTTTCTTCCGTCTTCAAGCATCCGGTTCCACCGCCGGATGAACGCACACCGTGACCGCTGGAGCGACTCGTACGAGATTTCATCAAGACTCTTTCCACGCAACCCACGGAAACGCCGGAAGTAGTCCCGCATCGTTTCAAAAGAGTCCGGAGCTCGAGCTCCGGACAAGTCATACAGCGCCCAAGGGATCAGGTGCCGATCCATCACGTGGTCGACTAAACTCCCGCTGATTGTGCGCGGGAGTGCTGTGGTGTTGGCGTCTGCGTCTTCAGTCATCGTTTGGCTTGTGCGTTGTTGGGTCTTGTGGTTGAGCACTCACGGTTCGTGAGTGCTGTCTTGAGAAGGGGGTGATGTAATGGGCCACCCCGTTACATAAGTAGGTTCGATTAAGTTTACATGTTACTTAAGTAGGGGTGTTACTTTCGGAGTAGCGAAAGTAGCACGTCGTATATTTTTGCTGGTTTAATGGGCTCAGTACCATTATTAGCCAGTAAGATATAGGCACGTAGATTGAGTGGTTCCCATGAGTCCAACGGAACCATTCGTACTTAGGATGATTTAAAAGACAAAAATATAAACAGAGTTAAAAATACATAATACCTAAGACTTGGGCTTTAAGCTTCCTCAAAGCGTTAGAAATAGTGTACGCTAAGTACGGGTCATTCTAGCCCCGTTACAGTATTCGACACGAGGTCGAGCTTAAACCAGGCTCGAAGTACTGTGTCATGAAGCAGTGGCCACTGCCTCGTGAACAAGTACTTGCGATCGACAAGTTCTTTGCCGATCGTTTAGCTGCGGGCCATGTGAGGGAATCAACTTCCCCACAAAGCTCTCCGACCTTCTGTGTGCGAAAAGCAACAGGAGGGTGGCGGATAGTGCACGCGTTTAACAAATTGAACGCTGCAACGGTACCGGCTCAGACGCCGATACCGAGGAAGGACGTAATCATTGATGGTATGTCAAAGAGTACCATCTTTTCGTCCATGGATTTGATGGATGGCTTCTATCAAATCCTAATGCGGGAACGGGATATACCCTATACCGCAGTTAGCACGCCTAGCGGCATGCTCTGGGAATGGCTAGTAATGCCACAAGGGCTCAGTAATGCCCCTGCCACGTTCAACAGGTGTGTATCACATCTGTTGAGGCCAGTACGAGAATTCGCGCCGAGTTATTTCGATGACGTATTCATCCATAGTCGAGCTATGGATGGAAAGTCGGACGTTGAGGTTCACAAGTACCACGTCCGACAAGTTCTTACAATCATGCGAAAGCATCAATTGTATGCTAACCTCAAGAAGTGTATATTTGCAGCAAGCGAAATACCACTTCTTGGGTGCATCGTTGGTAAGAACGGTGTACGTCCTGATCCCGAAAAGATCAAGGCGATCACCGACTGGCCCGTGCCGGTCGATGTCAAAGGTCTTCGAAAATTCCTTGGGCTAGCGGCGTATTTGCATAAGTATTCACGCAATTACGCCGAAATGACTGTGCACCTCTCTCGTTTGTTGAAAAAGAACGAGAGGTGGTTATGGAACGCTGAATTTCAGCGCTCCTTTGATGGTATCAAGCAGAGCTTGATACAATCCCCAGTCCTAGCAATAGCCGATCAGGACAGGCCATTTCATGTGGTCTGTGATACCAGTGATTTCGCAATCGGCTGTGCATTAATGCAGTACGATCTTGAAGGCGTTGAACGCGTCGTCTGCTATCAGTCGCGTCAGCTGCAACCAGATGAGCGGAACTATCCAGTGCATGACAAGGAACTCCTTGCCATGAAGTATGCACTCGCGAAGTTCAGAGTCTATCTATTAGGAGATAGACCCTTCATTGTTTACACTGACCATGCGTCATTACGCACGGCAGTGAACAGCCCGCACCTTTCACAACGAATGGCGCGGTGGTTGTCATTCTTTGCGGAATACTACTTTACGATCGAGTACAAACCAGGACGACTTAATGTCGTCGCTGATGCACTCTCACGTCGTCCCGACTTTGAAAAAGTCGCAAAACCTAACAGTGAGACAGTCACTGTTGCGGTTATAACGTCCTCAGTACCATCTTCAACGTTGTATGATGATGTGAGGCGGGCATACGCCCAGGATGGTGAGATTGTGAAGTTGTTGACACATCTCTCACAGCCATCTCGAGAATCGTTGAAACGATTGTCGCCTGCGTATCGATCTGCAGCAGATCGATACACTACTCGCAACGGTTTACTGTATTATACAGCCGTTTCTGGTGACACACCACGTGTTGTCATTCCAGATGATACTGATCTGCGTTTGAGGATCATGTTCGAGTATCACGATGCTCCTATAGGAGGACATCGCGGCCGATAGAAAACATATCTCACGGTGAGTCGAGACTTCTACTGGCCCCGCCAGTATCAGTTTGTGCGCAAGTATGTTCGCGCATGCGAAGTCTGCCAACGAGTGAAGTCAAGTCCTTCACTGCGTGCACCTTTACAGCCACTACCGGTTCCGGCTGAGTGCTGGGAATCCATCTCAATGGATTTTGTCTTCGGGTACCCAAAGACACACGCGGGAATACGGGTATTCTCGTATTTGTTGACAGATTCAGCAAAATGGTACACCTAGTAGCTGTAACAGAGTCAATCACGGCAAGTGGATGTGCTTGTGTCTTTATCGACACCATCTTCCGACTTCATGGGTTGCCTCGTGAACTCGAATCAGACAGAGATCCACGATTCACTGCTGATTTCTGGCGTTCCGTGTTCAAATCACTCGGAACGCGCTTGAAGATGTCTACATCTGATCATCCAGAGTCAGAAGGTCAGACGGAACGTGCCAATTTTGTCCTTGAAGAGATACTTCGAGGATACGTACACTCCTTTAAGAGTTGGAGTGAGTTTTTGCCAATAATAGAGTTTGCCATTAACAACTCGGTGCATGCGTCCACGACACATACACCGTTTTACGTGAATGGCTTGCGCCATCCGCGTGTACCCACCTTACTAGAGTGTAACTCTGATTTAAGGGGGGGAGGGACTCGCGCGAGCAAAAACCGAATTGGTTCACGCTCATCACGCTCTGACGAAGAAGTCATTGCGTTTGATGCCGATATCGATAACATTGATATCGAAGAAGATGATGCCAGTGAGAGTGCGGAAGCCCTCACTGAAGAAAAGGTTGATGTTGCTGCAGTGCGCTCACAGCGCACTGAAGCTAACGAGTCATCAGATGAGTTCATACTGGCTCGTGAAACGGTAGTCCGTTTTGTGCAAGACTCCATCGCCGAAGCGGTGGATAAGCAAAAGCAAAACGCTGACAAGAATGGAAGGGCAAACACTCTTTTATTTAATAAAGGTGACTTAGTCCTACTGTCTACGGTTAATCTACCAAAGCATGTAGTGACTAACTTGGGTAGCAGTAAACTACTACCCAAGTACATTGGCCCATTTCGTGTATTGCACCGCCTAGGCAATGCATACACGATCGAGTAACCACGTAAGATGCGAACGCATCCCACGTTTTACGTTGGTCGGCTTAAGCCGTACCATCAGTACGCTGCTTCTTCCGATGAAGAACGCCCTTGCGCTCAAGCATCTCGCAGAGAGCCTTGTGCTCCCGATGGTGGGCATCAACAAGGGTCTGAAGAGCAGCTATCTGATCCCGAGACCGATCAACAATCCCACGAGCTACCCTTAGCTCGTCACGAAGAGATGTCAGAGCTCTCTCGTTCTCAAGCTGAGCAAAGGCAAACTCAGCTCGATGCTTCGAGGCAGTGTCCGCCATTTGGAGACCCCTATTCCGCTCATGTTCGAGATCGTCGCGTAACCCTTGCGTTACGCGATCAAAGAATCTCTCGGGGACTCACGGATACCCATGATCGTGTGGAGAGCGTCTTTCCTCCTCCTCCACCTCCATTAGAGGACTCTCGCGGTGGCCAGCGCTATCTAGTTGAGCAGCTTTTGAACCACCGCGACGTGAACGGACGTCGGACGAGTTATCTCGTCCGGTGGCGCGGCTATCCCCCGTCCTGGGATTCTTGGGAGCCCCGCTCCCAATTGATGGTTGACGTACTGGGTCTGGTTGAGCATTACGACGCGGCACATCCTGTGCCGCAGAAGGACCGCCGGAGAAAGTCTTCCCGGCACGGTCGTAAAGGAATTTCAGGTTGTCAATCCCTTCGTACATCTCAGTAGAGACACGTACGCGCCACCACGGGCTGGTAAGGAGGTAAGCCTCCTTAGGTGCTCGTGCAAAGTTGTTCACACAACATGGGCACGAGTCTCCCCATGAGAGGCAGGGTAGTCCCTTCTCCCTTGACAGACGATGCAGCTTGTAGCGTGCACCTGTCGGGGTTCGATTTTCAAACTTATCACGAGCTTTGATAAGTTTGTCGTTCCAAGCGTCACGACCTACATCCTCAAGGTTATGGATGTAGGCGTTCCACGCTTGAAGTAGTGAGGGACCATCACGCTTGTGATTCCCACTGTACCATCGATGTCTGAAGAAAGCATCGATGAAGAATTCATGTTCAGCGCAATAGTTTTTCGCACTGGGGTCAAGGTGATGGATCCTTGACGAATCGAACAATCGTGTTCGATAATGATCACTCGACGTCGCCGACAAGTGATCCATGACGGATTTTGGAGGCATCCATGCCTTCTTCTCGGGAGCGAGACGCAACACATTGCGGTCCCGCTCTTCCTGCGATGGGCCGACAGAAGTTCTGGCACCTCGTTGCAAAGTGGTGTCCACAGGAGAACCGACACCACTGTTAGCGCCCGAGTCTCGCGACCTCGAGCGCCTTCGCTCCGGCGATGGTTCATCTGATTCATCAGATGAACCAAAGATGCTGCGACGCAAAGCATCGTCCATGCCACGCTTGGCAGGCGGCTTGGATTCAATCGCCGTCGATACGGATCCGTCTTCCGTATCAGGAGAGTATGAGACACCGAGCTCGTACTCAGTGAAGACATGAGTGTCTTCATGACCAGCGCCTGCATCACCAAGTGACACAGGCTGGGTCGCTTCAGCAACCGATGAGACATCAGTTGCTGTGGTTTCTGCTTCGGCGTCCGCACAGAGACGTGCGGACGCGCTCTCGGCGGCCTTGCTCGCGCATCGCATGGGCTTGTTAACCATGCGATGAAATGTTGGAAAGTGGACTCGGACCAACAAGTGCAAACCCTGTCCCAAATGATTTGGGACGAGTATCCATTTAGTCAATCAGTCACTAAAGTGACTGATGGTTAAGGGGGGTGATGTAACGGGGTGAATCGTTACATAACAATTTATAAGAAATTGTTAATAGAATATAACTATAAGAGTTATATTCTCAGAATATTGTCATAAGGACAAATATTCTGCAGCACTTACGAGTAGTTCCTAATTGGTTAATATAGGCCATTAAATCAACCAACGAAGACGCGCCACGACAGACGCACGCAATGAGTGGTGAGCAGATAGTTGATATGCACATTTGTATTCAGATATAGTTAGATGAAGATAAATAGTGATTTATTGCAGACATTAACTATACTAAAGACAGTTCTACTTTTTACTTTAACCAAGTACTCGCTTCTTCTTACCGTCTTCCTCTGCACGTACGAGTGTACGTGAAGTTACGAGGCACCGCCTTATTCTGTCATCAGAATAAGTAGCTTGTACTGTCACCAGTACAAGCTTCAGGGCGCCCCGTTACATATAACGTACGAGTACGAACCGAAATCCTATACCGCGACTATAAAAGCAGAACTGTAGGACCGAACAATTTCACCACAAAACAATAGTGTCACCAGCAACGCTTACAGCAGTAGCAAGAGCAGCGATAGCAAAAGAAGCAGTAGCAGCTGCGAAAGCAGCAGCTACATCAGCACTAACAACAGCCACAGCAGAAACAACAACAGCAATTATAATGACATCAGCAGCAGTAACAAAAGCAACAGTGTATCATATAAACTTGCAGCAACAACGGCTAGAGCAGCAGCGGTAGCAGCAACAACGACATGAACAACTGAATAAAAGGAACAAAATTAACTTTTTCATCATTAGAAAACAATAACAACAATACCCAACCATTATCAAAATTAATATCCTCAATATTGTCAGCACCAATTGTCTACGCTTATGGCTGCGGCTGACGATACAAAAATATGCTGCATTTTTCCTGTGGCTTCTGCGCCCACAACTGGTGGATTTGTGTGCAGCACGCCCGCGGCAGAAGTCCGTCCGCGGCTACCCCAGCAGGGCAGGGGTCGAGCACAGCCATACTTTAAGAATACAGATATGACTTAAATATTTATTGCATAATGTGAACTATATTGACTTGAGTATACAAGGATGTAGGGCATTTTTTATTTTCGCGATTTAATGTGGCGCTTTCTATTTGCCTTTTTCATGGATCACTATTTTTTTAATTATCTGGGGCATTTTTTCAATAAACGCGATTAAATGGGGCATCATTTATTTTCTTAATTATCTAAGGCCCTATTTTTTTTGTAATTCTGGGGCATCATTTTATCTTTTAATTATCTAGGTCATTTTTTTTCGCGCTTCAATCGGAAATGAATATTTTATAATTATTTAGAGCATTTTGTTTTCTCTAAATTCTGGGCCATTTTTTATTCTCGCGATTCAATGGGGCTTTCTTTATTTTCCTTTTTTTATTAGTCAAACGAGCAGAGTGGGTAGACCAGACAAAGGGCTGTTGTCGGAACTTTCACCAATCAGTGTCAGAAAACCAGCGAAATGAACCCTATCGAGGCGACGGTGTCCTACAGCTCCGGCGCGTACATCATTGGCTTCGTGATTCTGCTGGTGGGGGTGATACTCCCGATGGTATACATGGCGCTCCAAAACAAGAAGGTGTTCAAGGCTGTGCGACGAGACTAGAACAGTGAACGCGGTGCGAGAGATGTCGGACGTAGGACAGGATCAGGCACACGTGTCGACGCGGACGGGAGCTCAACAACGAGATGCAAGACGAGGTGCCAAATTGACGAAGAGAGAACGTAGTGGTACAGCACCAAGTACGGTGTGTTTGGACCGGAACGATGATACAGGGAATGAGAAACTTCCAGTGGCTTCGACATAGGTGACGCTTGAACTGGTGCAACGTTTTGAGCTTGGACTGGACAATGCACTCGATTGCACGGTAGGACACTGTGCAACCAGTTGTGTCGTGTTTACACTCTTCGTGCTGTCGGGCAGCTCCGTCTTTGACTAAGACTCCTGTAGAATCCCTTTTCGCTTTATTGGAACCGACTTACCAGCCGATGCATCGCTCGGCACCGACCTGAGGCTTCTGCTCCCTTGTCAATTCATGACGTCTATAGCGCACCAAGATCCTAGTTGTGTCGCTACTAGGTTGCAGTCGTTCTTAAGATCTTTTGCCTACATCGCAATCACCATAAGTTTGATTCACGTCCGCCTTCAATCAATCGATGCAAGCACAGATCACATGGACAAGCAGGTGATTGGACTTCTTACGATCAACATCGTCGACAAGGACGTGCACCGTTATCTCCCGCACGAAGTGCTCTTTGTAAAGCAAAGGATATGAACTGGTCCTTTCGTAGGCTTTTAACGCGTGACACTATTCCAGATGTCTGCGATACTCAAGTATTTCCTTCATACTCGTGCTTCTCACACACGTCGACAGCCAGCGCTTCGACGTTGTGCCTACACATTTGTTCGTTGTATAGTCCCTGATCCGAACAAACCGCTGAAAACAAGCATCGAACTGCTTAGAACCAAGACATTCATGATACGCATCGAGCACATTGCCTCCTCGTCAAATGTGCGCCCGCTCCCTGATAGCATCAAGCGAGTTGTCTGTACCTTCCCGTCCTGCTGCTATCGGTCGGTTCTTGCTGTGCTCGCTAGGATGGTAGACCATCTAAGCTTATTGGAATGTGGGTGCTGCGAAGAGGACATGACGGAAGCAAGCACCGATGGCGGATATGTCAGCAGCACTACTTCTTATTCGGTTGGCTTACGTTAGCAGATGACGTACGCCCAAAGCAATTCTGCAACTGGTGCACACTATCCGTTGCGAGTTCTCAGGGATCCGCTGACATTGACAGCATGTATGCTCACTTCAAGGTACGTTCATGATTCTGGGATGAAATATGTACGGATCGGTCTCTTCTGAGTGTGCGCGTATGTGTTGCATTACTTCTACAGTTTCTACCCTCCGCCCAGTCACTATTGCCGCCTCGTCCACGGAATTTTAATCTCCGAGACCGTGCGCCCCGACGCGTCATGGCCGTACATGTTCGTGTGTTACACTGTGTACATGCCCCACAACGTGTTTTCTTGCGTAAACACGCGCTGAAGCTTATTTGAAAATATGCTCTCGACTTGTGTCTCTGATGTCTGTATAGCGTCGATAAAATGTGGACTTGAGCATTATTCGTGGAGCAAATGGAGCAAAAAAGCAGAAACGTCAGCCGAGACATCATAACACTCGTCGAACAATCATGCCGCCATGTTGCGGTCCATCACTCAATCAGTAAGGTTCGTCGATGCTGCGTAAAAGGGCCGGTATAAGGCAGAAGCAGCCGTAAACAATTTGAGCTGTACTCTAATAAGTGCTCCGATGCTCGACAGTACTTCTTCTACGAGAATGGTTTTCTCGCCAAGTGCGATCAGTGACAATCGTTTTAGAGCTATTGACGGTTGCTGTCTACCAGCGGATGAGTCTAACCGGGTAAAATTGGTCACCGACACTCAAGCATAATTTACAGTTGCAAGCATCCGTTAATGTATTGTAGCAGCAACTGCACTTCGCTTGCCAGTTCGCGGATAACCATTATCCTTTGAGACGTGCGAAAGTGGTTGACAACTACATCGCGGCAGTGGAATAAAGCCGTGTCCCCGTCTGAGACGGGTGATGATGGCTGAGATGTTTTGTGAACAACCAACTGCCGGATTGGCGCTGCGCCTCCCTCACAGGTTTACTTCACTTCGCTTTTTGCCAGGGATCCTTGATTGGTCGTGGCAATTTTCACCAGAACGCTCCGATTCAACAGGACTTTAGTTGCGTGCAGCCAGTTGCATCATCCACACTTGGCCGAGATGTCGTTTTGGCCGTGCAACTCGTCGAGTAATGAAGGCTTGGTGAAGAACTTGAGGCGAACAGGTGTTGTTCGCTCGGAAGCTGTGTATGACGCAATGGTGCGAACGGATCGCGCCAAGTATTTTACACCAGCTGAAACTCCTGACGGAGGACAAACTGGCGATTTGCACGCTTACCAGGATATTCCACATCCTATCGGTTACCATCAGACCATTTCTGCACCACATATGCATGGTCACGCAATGGAGTTGGGATACGCTGCAATCAAGGATGTCGTCAATCCGCAGATCCTGGATGTGGGATCAGGTTCCGGTTACCTCACCGCATGTCTCGGTCGGATGGTGGAAGACAAAGGCGGACATGTATTTGGTCTGGAGATTGTCCCTGGACTCGTCCAGCTAGCCAAGAAGAACATCCAGATGGCAGATGGTGACTTGCTCGATCGTGGCATCGTATCAGTGCGCTGCCATAACGGTTGGGACGGACTAGCGAACGAAGCACCATTCCACTACATCCACGTGGGTGCTGCGGCTGAAGTTCCTCCTCCAGTCCTCCTGGATCAGCTGGCGGATGGTGGTCGCCTTGTACTTCCGCTGGATGAAGCTCGTGGCGGTCAAGTCTTCGTCGAGATCTCGCGACATGGAACAAATTACTCGCAGCGTCGGCTCTTCGGTGTTTGTTACGTGCCACTCGTGCGAGAACGGAAACTAAGCTGAACTGATGAGCGTCCAAGCGAGACTTTAGCGAGAAGCCGAGTTAAGGCTGTTTTTATACGACTGCTTCCAAATAGTCGTGTACTCGCTTGCTTGTCAGCGTATTCGTTTTCTCCTTTGCTTGCCAATGAATTTGAAACGGAGTCCACAAGAGCTCAATCAATCATCACCTTCAGGTCATCAAGTGTGCAAGTCTGCGTCCAGTGATCGTCATTGTGCACGAACACCACTGAAAAGTCACAACAAGTCAAGAAGTCAGAACATGCATGCGATAAATATCGTGCTGTCTTACCTGGTTAAATTATAACTAGCTCGACTCAAGCATCGAGTACGTTATGTAATTGCTCGACAAAATGTTGGATCTCGTCAATCTGAATCTCCATCACGGCACTCGTAAAGCCATCCTGACGAAAGTTTGCCCCAGTCTCGTTAGCAGCCAACTTGAATGCTGTTCCCAAAGTGCTGCATCAAAGAAGCAATAACAGAATTAGCAAACACCAGCATGACATAGAGTTTACGGAAACGTACTTTCGATGAATCTCGCCAGGTGTGGATGGACAGGTCAATCCTATGACCAGAAAACAATTCTGCGCCGGGTTGCGTGTGATGAGCACCAGCGGGACAATGGATTTGCTCGCCATACGTATGTCTTCCTCTGTATCACCGTCCTCGGTATCCTCTCCTTTTGGTTTTCGTCGGACCGAAGCATTGAGACCACCCCACTTGCCACTTGCACGGTGTACATTAAGCAAGAACAGAGCCAGCTGCGTCAGGACGTTGGCATTTGCAAAGAGGTCCTGCTCGCGCTCGGGTACATTCAGGCACACATAGCGAAAGTGCTTCACCCGAACTAAAAGCTTGCGCTCCATGATTGAGAGTCCTACGCGAACGATAGCTTGCTTGAGCGACATGGATACTTTGATGCCACTTTCCATGAGCTTACTAGACGTGACCGATTGACACGCGAGAGCTGTGTGTGCAAACATGAAGTTTTGCTGACGAAAATCATCTAGACGTGACGTTTCAGTTGCTGTGTCCTCAGTGTTAGGTTCATCTTCGTCGCCTTGTGATGCAATCTTACTGTTATTGACACTGGAAGACATGATAGAATCCAGTGACAGCAGACTCATTAAAGCGCTTTGATGCTGCGTTTCCATCTCAAACACTGAAGCAATGTAACTCTCAGGCACCTCTAGTAGTGCCTGCAATCCGTAGAAAGCATCAGCTGCGCACAGCTGGTATTGAAACGCAAACGTTCGCTTGAAAGAGCCGTAGAATAAATCGTCCAAACCGAACTCGGGTGCCATCTCCTGCGTCTTCTCGCGCAGCTTCTGTTTCATTTCCAATGGCATGTACGAAAACTTCTGCTGACTCTGCCGCAGTGAAAAGCCCATGCGCGCTAGAAATACATGTAGTGCCGTGTCTCCTACCCCATTGCCGCTATTTTCCGATAAATTTCGTGCACCGACACGGCGTGCTTGATCGTGATAGAGTCCAAGCTTTGATGCTACGTAGTCCGAGTAATACATGGCTTCGTAGAGGGACCAGTGACGGTAGCACATGAAACGATATTCCTCCTCAAAGCTAATCTTACCGTCGTCATACCCCGGATGTCGCTCTTCGTCGTCAGTTGTACCTAAACCACTGGCTAGCGTCGGCGCATTGAGTGCTAATACCTCATCCTGGAACCGAGCAATCATAAGGTTGTAGTTGTCTGCATCAATTTCTTCGAGCACAAACTGCTTAGTCAATCCAATGATCGCAAACCAGAGCAGATCGCGCTGCGAGTTGTTCACCTGCTGTGCCAATTCAAATGCGACTGTCGCCGCCGGGGCGCCGTGAAACGACCCTCGATAGTACCGTAAAATTTCATCTCGACGTCGACGTTTGGCCATCGCCATACTTTCGTCCAAGATTTCGTCGTCAGTGTCCGCAACATCCAGCCTGCCGTCGTCCTCTTTCTTCTTCTTGATACACTGCACCAAACCTGTCTCTTCACCTGCATCGTCTCCCTCGCTCTCCTCCTCTCGCTTCCTCTTGTCCATCCCACTGCAGTCTTTTTCGTGCTCCTCACCATCCAATTTGCCCTCTGTACTAGCAAAGCAGTCCACCTCTGCTTCACTCTCATCACTCCCGTCACTCTCATCCTCCTCGTCCTCCTCTTCCTCTTGATCAAAATCTTCCACTTCAAGATCCGAACCACAGGCTGGATAGTCTTCACGAGCCAGCGCGCCGTCGTCAAACACGACAATCTGCTCGTCCGTATCGTAAATATTTGCCAAGTGAATAGGGCGGTGACTGTCCAGCACGTAGCACTTGATGTGCGGTGGCAGCGCTAGGAGCTTCGCCACGTCGACAATGGCACCACAGTTCAGCATAATGACCGACCGCAGGGCGCCGTCGCCTCTCCTGACTCCGTCCGCGCTACAAATGCGCGTCTCACGAGCAAGAAGCACGTCTTCGTAGCCCCGCACAGCGAGCAGCGCGTAGCTCACGAGATCTGCACGCAGAAGACGCGTGAGGATCTCAGCGGCGCATAGCGCGTCCACGTCCAGAGCCACGAGAAGGAGCACGCTGCACTGGCCGTTGGATTGCACTGCGTCGTGCTTGATCTGCGTGTAGGCGGCGTGGAACTCTTCGCGTGGCCACAGCATTCCAGTCGATGGACGCTAGGGATCGAACTGATCGACGGAAAGCTGATTGGCTGGCTGGTTGATGCGGTAAGTGCGGCTTAAGTACACGATGAGGACCGGATTTATTGAAGGTGGGGTGGTCATTTGTCATGTGACTGGAAAAATCTGGAGGTTAATTAGATTCGAGTACAGTTGAGTGTCCGCAATTTAATATGCACTAAGCTAATCAACTCTCTTACTTTATGAAAATGTCGAGTCCCATGTTGGGCCCAGGCCAACTATATTAAAAAATCCCATCATTTTAATTAGCGAAAGCCAGAATATTTTTCCGCCATAAATAGATTAAACGACTGCCGGGGGCCACTTCTAAACAATTATCCAGAGTTTGTTGCTTGTAGGATTTTAGCTGAAGATTTTCGACCTGACCCTGCATTGTTTAAATCATCCCAAAGAACTCCTTTCTAGCTGCAACCAGAAAGCCTTGAGCTCTGCAAGCATCGATACAGCATTCCAAAGAGGGACGGGCGGTGCGGCCACACTATCGTCCTCCTTTGTGTAGATGCCACGTCCTGACTCCGGCAATTGAACGCACTTGGAAATCTCTGCCTCTGTCGAAGTGTAGCTCATCTGCTTTTCGTCGGGTTATGCAAGAGTTCGATGGCAATTGGTTTACATTGAAGTTTTTTGACTTTTGGCAACAGCCAAGAGCGAGTTGAGGTGGGAGAGCTTAGAAGAAGGTAAAATGGAAAGTGAATTATCATCTAGCTAGGTCCTTAGTTCGTCTCGTTGTACTACTCTAAGCCTATCGATATCGACTCTATAATATTAGTAACAAAACGATGAGTCGATCCCATCGTTACACACTATCACACAGTGTCGTCCATGACATATGGTCATTAGTATCAGTAACCAACACCGTTACCAATACTCCCCCTCGACTAGAAGTCTCTGATCCTGGCCTTGTCCAGCAGCGACTCGAACTTCTTTGTCGAAATCGGTTTGGTCAGAAAATCTGCCAGCTGTGACTTGGTTTCAGTATACTGCAGGTCGATAATCTTGTCTTTCACCTGTTCGCGCACAAAATGGTATCTGATGTCGATATGTTTCGCTCGACTTTGATAGCCGTCGTTCTTAGCGATAGCGATTGCACTCTGGTTGTCTTCGTGAATCTTGACAGCATAGTTAATCTGCACTTGCATCTCCTTGAGTAGACTTCTTGTCCACAGAACCTCCTGCACACATAAAGAAAGAGCCATATACTCTGCTTCTGCCGTGCTCAGTGCCACGCTCTGCTGCATCTTCGACTTGAAAATCACAGGTGCGCCATTAATCATGATAAAAACTCCCGAAATCGATCTGCGATTCCACTTGTTACTTGCCCAGTCTGCATCGGTGTACGCGCTCAGCTGAAGATTACCTGAAACTCCTTCATAACAAATTCCTTTGCTCTGCGTCGTCTTCAGATATCGCAACACTCGAATCGCTGCATTCCAGTGCTCTTCATGTGGAAATTCCAAATGACGACTCAGCTGACATACTGTATACGCAATATCTGGTCGTGTGCCTGTTGCCACATACAACAACGACCCCACTAACGATCGATACGGTCGATTCTTCATTCTTGTGTCAGCTTTGTCCATCTTGACCATCGCTTGCCCTTCAACACTTGGATTTGACACTGCTTTCGCATCAACTTGATTAAATTTCTCGACCATTCTTGATATACACGATCCTTGACTGATCTTCAGACGTCGATTGTTGCGCAGGTACTTGACTTCGATTCCAAGAACGTATCGAACACCCCCTAGTATCTTCAACTGGAAACGACTTGATAGTTGAGCTGCCACATCTTCCATCACTCCAGTAGATTCAGCCCCAATTAGAAGGTCGTCCACATATAATGCAGCGTAAATCCACGAGCCCTTGGTCTCTTTGACGAAAATGCATGAGTCTGCCACGCATGAAAAGAACCCCATCTCCACAAACACACACGAAATTGTCTTGTACCATGTAGCGGCCGCTTGTTTCAGCCCATACAGACTGCGATTCAGCTTAAGCACTTGATTATGTTCTGCACGAACACCCAGAGGAGGGTATACGTATACCTCTTCTTCCAAAACGCCATACAGAAACGCAGTGTCGACATCATATTGATGAATCAACATCCCCTTTTGACAGCACACCGCCAAAAACACCCGTATTGAGTTGAGGTTTGCCACAGGTGAATATGTCTCCATGTAGTCAACTCCATACGTCTGCCTGTAGCCAAGTGCTACAAGACGTGCCTTGTATCGAATAATCTCACCCAGCTCGTTTCGTTTGAGTGCGAACACCCACTTGGTTCCAATCACTTTCTGGTTTGGACGCTGTGTTTGAACAGTCCAGGTGTCCTTTTCCTCTAATGCCTTGAGCTCAGCTTGAATGGCCTTGTACCAATTATCACGACGAGGTGACTTAAGAGCTTCTTCGTATGTCGTTGGGGTCTCGAACGCTGCACATGCTTGCTCATACCCAATACGTAGTCTCTTTGTGCCTTTTTCTTGACACACTTCTGAGCCGTCATAAAAGTCCTCATCAGCACCATTCACTGGTATTAACGCTTGAGATTGTCCATGTTGAACCGATTCTAGTGGAACCATCGCGGTTTCTTGCGATGCTTGAATACTTGTCTGTCGACTTGGTCGTATCACCATCTGTCCTTGTCTTGACACGTCTTCAGCCGATTCTTGATCTTCTTCAATCATCGTCACATCATCAATTTCAAACATTGGATCGTCAGCATTGGAACCCACGTGTTCAGGCATCTTGCTACTGCATCTTGATGGTAGAGCCATCGTTGTTGTACGCCTGTCTTGCATGTGACTCTCTTCTTGAACACTGTGACTGTCCTCCATTGCTATGTCCATGTCTTTCGTGACTCGTGGCTGTTCTAAATCGATAGAAACAGTGTCTTCGTCATGAACAGCGCGAAACTCTTGGTCACTTGATCTGCTGTAACGTTGCACGTACTGAAGTGGTGGTCTCTCATCGAATTTAGCCGATCTCGTGTGCGTCACCCTCTTGGCATCTTCATCCCATATTCGAAGCCCCTTGATTTGATCCGAGTAACCTAGAAAAATACATCGAATCGCCTTCTTGGTCATCTTGGTCCTGTTCGACTTGTCGACATGTGCATATCCCTTTGATCCAAATACACACATCTCGGAGAGGTCAGGCTTCTTCCCGAAGATGAACTCAAATGGAGTTTTAGTCGGGTGACTAGCACATGGAACTCGGTTTGTCACATAGACTGCCGTGTTCATCGCCTCAGCCCACCAAATTTTATCCACTTGCATATGGCTGAGCATTGCTCTGGCCCGCTCTGTCAGTGTCCTGTTCATGCGTTCGGCCAGCCCATTCTGTTGTGGCGAATAGGGTATCGTCGTCTGATGCATGATACCAGATTTTCGACATACACCGGAGAAACGTCTGTTGACGTATTCCGTCCCGTTGTCCGTCCTGATACACTTGATCTTCTTGGACAGTTGATTCTCCATAAGTGCCTTATACTCTATAAAGCGATCCGTCACTTCCGACTTGTTCTCAATATAGTATGCGACTATATATCTCGAATAATCATAAATAAAAGTCACGACAAATCTTGATCCTCCTCGAGACTTCGATTCCATAGGTCCCATGACATCACTGTGGACCAACTGCAACACCTCCTTGGTTTTCACGTGTCCGTATGGTGACTTCGGAAACGTCTTGACGGTTGCTTTACCCATGATGCACCCTTCGCAGATCTCGATATCATCTTCAACGCCTTGATTCTTCTTGATCTTTAATCCATTGACGCAACCTGCCATACCCTTGAGCATCTTCGTTGACAGGTGACCTAATCTTGCATGCCACACTTGTAGATCAGCCGCTCCTGATCCGTCACTTGATTCTTGCTCTTGAGATGTCTCTCCGCAAACGTTGGCTACCTCAGCCGGACTGCACTCTAAGACGTACATCTTGTTTCGTCTTGGTATTTGGGCAACGACTTCCGTGTTACTTCTGATCTGACAGCTCAGATCTGAGAAGATCACTTGTAGACCCCTCTTTGACAATGCCGATATTGACAGTAGCCTTCGGTCTAGGCCCGGCACCCATAGCGTTTCTTCGATCCTGATCACTTCACCAGTCTTGAGTTGCACGCGCACTGTCCCAACACCTTGCGCTTCCACTTCGCTGCCGTCTGCTATGGTGATCATGATCGGGTCCGTCAGTGAGTTTAAATTCGAAAACTCATTTCTGTCGGGACACATGTGGCTGCTTGCCCCACTGTCCAATAACCATCCAGCTGACGTCCGACTTGACGCAGTAAATGCTCTCTCTTCTCCAGATCGCTCTGTCTCCACTTGTTCAGCCTTGCAATCTTGACGCTTGTGCCCATATTTGTTACATCGGTAACACCTTCCCGAAAACTTTTCACCTCTTGAACTTGATCTCCCCATATGTCTGCGCGGACCTTTCTTGTACTTGGAAGTGTGCGTACTTTTCAGTGCGATTTCTTGGTGTTCTGTCCTCGCCATTCCATCGTACTCCCGTCTCAGCATTTCCTTAGCGTGAAACAGTGTCATTCCGGGCATGTTCTCAATTATCTTGACGATAGGGTCATAGTCTCTCGTTAGACTACCCAATAGGATGACCAAATGCTCATCCTGTGAGATCTCTTGTCCCACAGCTTGCATAGTCATGCACAGCTCGTCAAATCTCAGGAAGTGATCCATGATGCTTCCTCCCTTGGCCAACTTGAACTCATGTAGTTGCCGCCGCAACTGCACACGATTGTGCATACTTTGCCGCAGGAAGAAAGTCTTCAGTATGTCCCATGCTTTTGCCGTTGTCTCTGCCGTGCGCACCATTGACTGAAGATTTGTGCTGATCATTGTGGACACAATCGCGAAGGCCTTCATGTCGTTGACTTTCCAAGTTGACGCGCTTGCGTCTCCTTCTTCTGGGGCCTTCATAGCGTCTAGGTGCTCTAGCAATCCCTTCTTTGCCAGGCTCACATCCTTGCGTTGAACCTCCCACACGAAGTAGTTATCTTCGCGGAGTATGTCGCCCGCATCCGGCGTAGTTGGGCTCATAACCTTTTGACTTTTGGCAACAGCCAAGAGCGAGTTGAGGTGGGAGAGCTTAGAAGAAGGTAAAATGGAAAGTGAATTATCATCTAGCTAGGTCCTTAGTTCGTCTCGTTGTACTACTCTAAGCCTATCGATATCGACTCTATAATATTAGTAACAAAACGATGAGTCGATCCCATCGTTACACACTATCACACAGTGTCGTCCGTGACATATGGTCATTAGTATCAGTAACCAACACCGTTACCAATAAAGTTGTTAGACTTGTTTCTGGATCCCCACAACGACTGCCTACGGGACATCCACGTTGGCGTTTGCAGCGTGTCCATGTCGAAGGTGCGAAGTTTGCAGAGTGTAAGGCAGTTGCGGATGCGCTCAGGCTGCACATACAGCGTCCACGCTGCATGCGCCAGATGAGTCTCTCCATGACGTTGATCGTTACTATGTCTGGCAGATTGTTATCAAGTCGGTACAGTAGCTGGCAGTTAAGGCGCCCACGGTAGACAAGTTAGAGTTGCGCATCATACCAGCTTCGTATGGCTGAATCTTGCTGGTGGCATCGGGCGGCAAATGCGACTGCGTTGTATGCTGCAGAGTAATTTCGATGTGTTTCAGATCCTCCTCTTTGATCAGCGTGGAGCAGTTGTCGAGGATCAGAATAACTTTGCAACCGGCGACGTGTTTGGCGAAGGCTTTTAGTCATAGTTTGAACACGCTGCGAGTAATCCACGCATTCTTGTTGGCATGATAGGCAACGCTCAGGCTTCTGCGGTCCACGTTTTTAAATCAGCGTAGGTTTAAAAACTTTCCGATGACCCCCTGCGAAAACCTGTCGGATCCGTCTGCGTTGCTGCAAAGGGTCATCACCATTTACTCTTTGCTCTGCTTCTGATCTTCCAGCTGGTGTGTTGAAAGCGATAAATCGTTCGGCAGTCGGTGGAATAGGCCAGTATCATCCAAGCTGTAAATAACGGCGGCTTTTAACTGTTCAAATTGAGTGCGGATTGTCGGCAGGCGCTATTCCAGTGCTTCAACGTCGACAGATCTGCTTTCGCCAAAGCGGCGGTGTATGCGGATGCCGTGGCAATTTTTGAAGGTCTGCAACCATCCCATTTAAATTGTGGGTACATCCTGATCGTTGACAGTTGAAAACAGCATCTTCATGAAGGATGCCGCTTTTTCCTGAATCAGGTGTCAGCTAATGTTGACGACACCCTGAGACTCAATAATCCACCGAGCAAACGTATTTTTCCACCAACGGGTACGAAACGCACGCTGTCGTTTGAAGTGAACGGCTGTATCGCTCTTGTGTAACGGGGTAGCCCGTTACATGAAATTGACACCAAACGGTGTCACTAGGAATATTGTCTATCATGACAATATTCTACCAATATTATCCGAGATGGTTAGTATTGAAGGAACATTATCCCCTTTTGGATAACATTCATGCGCTCCTCCAAGATTGGTTGATTTAAGACACACCAACCATAGATTGCCACCAATCGCTGCTAGACGCGCGCAAAGAGTGGTGAGCAGGTTGTCTTCATACGACGGCGTAGTTAACATAGTTAGATAAAGATTAGAGTTATATTGATGGCTAAATTTACTAAGTACAGTTTGCTTTTTAACTTACTTGATCGAGTCGTTCAAGTAGTTTAGCTTCCTCTGCACGTACTAGTGTACGTGAAGTTTCGCGGCACCCCAAACAAAGGGTGCCTCGTTACACCTGGTAGCACTTCGTAGTCCTTCCAACGACTGCTTAGTGTCCGTACAACATGAACATGTTGGACGTAGAAGACGAAAGCTTTCACGTCACACGTGTAGGCTACTCTCATCCGATTGACTCAGAATGGGAGGTAGTCGGCCGCATGAGTGTGCTCACGGGCAAACCCGCCATCAGTGGCATGTTGGAGTCTCAACGCAGAGACCAGCAACGTGCTGCTATCAACAAGTTCCTACAAGGGGAACTTGCCGTCGAAAGACAGAAGATAGCCTTGCTACAGCAGCAAGGCTTTCATCAGTCGATGGGCGGACCGACGCACATGTGTCGACTCGAAACCTTAAAGATTGATAACTCAAGGTACAAGGGAACCGATGAAGATTCCCTTTTCAGATGGTTCGTCGAGTTAGACGACGCCATCAGGGCCCGTCACATCGAGGGTGACGAGATGCAAGTCACCTTCGCCCTGTCAAATCTGACGGGACGAACAAAGGCTTGGTCCTTAGGGCTCAAGCTTCACGACCCAAACGTGTTTGAGTCGTTGGAGATCTTGAAGTCTCGGCTTAAAGAAACGTTTGAGCCGCCGAGAGCCGAGTTCAGAGCACGCTCTGCACTCTTGAGGCTAAACCAAGGGAAGCGTTATGTGCACGCTTACGCACAACACCTGATCTACCTCGCGAGTAGCGTTAAGGAAAACCCTGTTGATGAGCACACACTCATTAACGTGTTCATCTACGGTCTTGTAAATGGGCCGGTGAAGACCTACATGTTCCGAGAGGATTTCCATACGCTGGAAAGGGCGATAGCGTATGCTGAACAAGAAGACTTAAGCCTGAGACAGTCTCAGGCTGACTCGTCCAACTATCGTCCAACGAGGCGACATGAAACAGGAGGTCCCGAACCAATGGACCTCTGTTGCATCGAGAGCGAGAAATCTCGCTCTCTGAGTCACAAGCGAACGTCAAGATGCCATCGCTGTCAGAAGATTCGACACTACGCTTATGAGTGTAGTGTCCCGAGCACTGCAACACGTCCAAAGACAGGACGTGATGACCACCGTTGGCCAAGGAAGGTTCCGAGGCGTGGATCCGACCATGTTGCTAAGCCGCGACAGCAAGTCGGACCATCAAAAAAACGGACAAGGTCAGTAGGGGCGGAGCACGCTGCTGATCCAGCAAATTCAAGAGAATATGCAGGACTCTTGACGAAGATTGCTCCCAACACGCAGTCTATGTGTGGTACTGCCTTTGTGATGAGGAGTCTCTTATCACTTTGAAGATCGAAGTGACAAGTGGACTGTCACTTCGCGCCCTAGTTGACTGTGGGGCGTCGAACAGTTTTGTTCTACGCCAGTCGCTAGGGGATAGTAGGCTCAACTATGTTGAGCGAGAGTTCCCTCCAACGAGGATGACGGCGTGCCTTGCTATAGGCGCATCCGTAAGAGTGAAAAAACGTGTAGTGGGAATCCACTACGCGCTAGAAGGAAAGCAGATCGATGATGACTTCATCGTAATAGATTTAGATGACAAATTTGATGTCATCCTCGGTCTGCCATGGCCTTAATAGTACCAGCCATGGGTTAGCTGGCAGCATCGATCCGTGAAGATGCCTGCCGTTTGTTCATCGCATGGCCATCTATTGAACGTCTTGAAGTGCCCACAAGCGTTTGAATGTACTACGAGTGAGTGCGATGGCCTCACTTGTGGTACGTTCGTTAGTACGATTGCACAAGATCACATTGTAGAAGGCCACTGCAATGTGGAACCAGCTTCCGGCACCTGTGTAGAGACACAGGCTGCGTCGAAATTCACCACCCGAAGAGATCGAGTGGACTGGAACACGGATGCACACCAAAAAGGGTGCATCCGAGAAGAGAGATTAGTGTTGTTCAGGATGGACAACACGTTAAAGCGAGATCGACTAACAGAGAGTCGATCGTAGAGAAAGCCCGATCGACTGAAAGAGAGTCGGTCGAATAGGACGTGACGTGGCAGTACACCCACAGTCGGTACACGTAATGGAAGAGCGTTCCTGAGATGGATAACTCCCGAGAGAGTTATGTTGAGGGTGTGGATCCCCAAACACCTGCGGATTTGTTTTCGCAGGAAATCACCGATTCAGTTAACGTCTTGGTGAATGACGGATCAAGTGTAGGCGCTTATAAACTTGATCTGGTGACGCCCCCGAAGTCAGCTTCGGAGGCGGTCAAGTTGCCAACTCTAGAATCTAAAAGATCCTTGCGAGATCTGCTTAGTGACAAGATCAAGCAGATCTGCGTACTCGTCACAGAGGACGAGTACGTCGCCGATATTCGGTCGACAAAAATGTTTGCTGAGTACAAACGGGTTATCAGTAGTTCATCGATGGACGAGAGTGTCCTCGATGAGAAGACCCGAATTGAGCGATACACGTCTCAATCTTGGGATTTTTTGACGACAAATCCTTTGTATAAGGATTTGGTTGAATTCAGGGATGTTTTCCCGGAATCGTGCCGTGAAAGTTGCCCAAACCAAAGGTACTCGGCGTGAGACCGAGTTGAAACCTGGTTCGAGATACTGTGTCATGAAGCAGTTGCCACTGCCTCGTGAACCGATCACAGCGATCGACAAATTCTTTGCCGATCGATTAGCGGCTGGTCATGTGAGGGAATCAACATCCCCACACAGCTCTCTGACCTTCTGTGTGCGAAAGGCCACAGGAGGGTGAAGGTTAGTGCACGCGTTCAAAAAATCGAACACTGCAACGGTACCGGCTCAAACACCAACCCCAAGAAAGGATGTCATCATAGATGGTATGGCAAAGAGTACCATCTTTTCATCCATGGATTTGATGGATGGATTCTATCAGATCCTCATGCGTGAACGGGACATCCCGTACACAGTAGTGAGCACCCCCAGTGGTATGCTCTGGGAGTGGCTAGTGATGAAAAAGGGGCTAAGTAACGCCCCCGCAACGTTTAACAGATGTGTTTCGAATCTGTTACGATCGGTGCGCAACTCGCACCGAGTTACTTCGACGATGTCTTCGTCCATAGCCGGGCTATGGATGGAAAGACGGACGTGGAGGTTCATAGAATCCACATCCGGAAGGTTCTTACGCTAATGCGTGAGCATAAGTTGTTCGCGAACCTCAAGAAGTGTTTGTTCGCAGCGAACGCAATACCACTTCTTGGGTACATCGTGGACAAACACGGTGTACGCCCTGATCCGAAAATAGCAAGGCGATTAGCGACTGGCCTATGCCAGTCGACGTCAAGGGACTTCGAAAGTTCTTTGGCTTGGCGGATTACTTGCACAAATACTCGCGCAACTATGCCGAGATTACCATACATCTTTCTCGTCTGCTAAAGAAAAACGAGAGGTGGTCATGGAGCGCTGAGTGTCAGCACTCTTTTGCAGGCATTAAGAAAAGCTTGGTGTAATCGCCTGTGTTGGCGATTGCAGATCAGGATAGTCCATTTCATGTGGTCTGTGACGCCAGCGATTTTGCAATCGGCTGCGCGTTAATGCAGTACGACTCAGACGGCGTTGAGCGCGTCGTCTGTTATCAATCGCGTCGGCTGCAAGCAGCTGAGAGTAACTTCCCGGTGAATGACAAGCCACACCTTGCCATGAAATATGCACTGGCCAAGTTGCGGTTATATCTCTTAGGAGATAGGCCATTCATCGTTTATACCTACCATGCGTCGTTACGCACGGCGTATAAAACCCGAGTATAAACCAGGACGACTTAATGTCGTCGCTGATGCTCTTTCGCGTTGGCCCGATTTCGAGCAAACTGCTCAACACAACAGTCGGGGTGATCCCACTGTAGCGACACTATCAGCGAGTGTTCCGTTGTCGAATATGCTCGACGACGTGCGGAAAACATACGCAGAAAATGATCTTTTTTGAGATTGATGGAATACACGTCTAATCTGTGCAGTCAAGCTTTGAAAAGCATGTCGTCTCAACACCGCTCTTCAACCGAACGGTATTCTATTCGTGATGGACTGCTGTACTATACAGCAGTCAAAGGTGACACACCTCGTGTCGTCGTTCCCGCTAATGATGATTTGCGATTGCGCATCATGTATGAGTGTCACGACGCCTCATTAAGTGGACATCGCGGTAGAGAAAAGACTTACCTCATGGTGAGTCGTGACTTCTACTGGCCCCGCCAGTATGATTTTGTGCGGAAATACATTCACGCTTGCGAAGTTTGTCAACGGGTGAAGCCTATTCCTTCATCCGGTGCACCCTTGCAGCCTCTAACTATTCCGGCAGAGTGTTGGCAGTCCGTATCGATGGACTTCGTCTTTGGTTTTCCTAAATACGTTCACAAGAATACTGGTATCTTGTGTTTGTTGATCGATTCAGCAAGATGGTACATCTAGTTGCTGTACCGGATTCAATCACAGCCCAGGGCTGTGCGCGTGTCTTCATCGATACTATCTTCCAACTTCACGGGATACCCCGTGAACTCGTGTCGGATAGGGACCCCCGCGCTACAGCGGAGTTCTGGCAATTCGTTTCCCGTTCACTTGTAACACGTTGAAGATGTCGACTTCTGACCATCCCGAAACAGATGGTCAGATGGAACGCGTCAACCGCGTTCTCGAAGAGATACTTCGAGGGTACGTCCACTCGTTTGCGAGCTGGAGTGAGTTCTTGCCGATGGCGGAATTCGCCATCAACAACTCGGTGCACGCGTCGATAACGCATACACCGTTCTTCGTGAATGACCTACGCCATCCACGTTTACCCGCCTTCTTCGAGTGTGAATCTAGTTTAAGGGGGGGACTCGCTCGAACAAAAACCGATCTGGTTCTTGCTCATCACCCGTCGACGATGGTGTTGACGTGATGGATGCCGATGTCGATGCGATTGATGTCGATGATGATGATGACGACGATGCTGGCATATTCAGCATCGCAAATGACCGCCAAAGTGAGGACGATGACACCCTCACTGGTGCAGAAAACGTTCTTTAAGCAGTGCAAACGAAGCGCACTGCTGCTGACAAGGATGAATCAGCAGAAATTCTTCTGCTGACTCGCGAAGCGGTTGTCCGCTTCGTTCAAGACTCTATTGCAGATGCACTAGACAGACAGAAACGAAACGCAGACAGACATGGAAGAGCAAATTTTCTTTCATTTGACGAAGGAGATTTAGTTTTACTAATTACAGTAATCCGACGAAACACGCAGTGACAAACGTAGGCAGCAGTATATTACTGCCCAGATACAGCGGTCCATTTAGTGTGTTGCGCCGAATGAGCAACGCATACACGATTGAACTGCCCCGTAAGATGCGCACGCATCCTACGTTTTACGTCGATCATCTCCTCCAGTACTATCAGTACGAGCCCGTTTCGAGATGCGAAGAACACCTCCGCGGTCGAGAGCCGAGACCACCTTCGAGTGGTCCTATTTCAACGAGCCAGTCTGTTCGGCTAGCGAAGCGACCTGTTCACGCAGTTCAGCAATGTCTCGACGAGCTACAGCCAGCTCGTCACGAAGAGAACGAGTCGAAAGTTCGTTCTTAAGTTGCGCGAACGCAAAAGCGGCACGATCGTCCGAACAATCGTGCGTTAGAATATTGTAATCATCCGATACAATATCCTCAAGCTCATAACGCCGAGTCCGTTCGTGAGCCAGGTCATCTTGCAATTGATCCGTTCTACGGTTCAGCTCTTGAACATCAAGTTAATATGACCTTCGATCCGGATCAGGTGATCCCACAGCCACCACATCTTTTGGTGGACTCAAGCGGTGGTCAATGCTTTCTAGTGGATCGTATTTGGAACCACCGCGATGTGAATGGCGTCTGGACGAGTTACCTCGTCCGCTGGCGTGGCTATCCACCGGCGTGTGACAGCTGGGAGCCTCGTGCCCAGCTGATTATTGATGTCCTTGGTCTCGTCGAGCAGTACGACGAGACCCACCCGCTGCGTTTGAAGAAGGGCCGTTGGAAAACGACCTCCCCGAACGCGAGTACAGGGGTTGCAAGGTTTCAATCCCTTCAGCTATATCGGAAGAGATGCGCGCTCTCCAGTTGGGATCATTAGGGAGGTAGGCCTCCATAGAGGCACGTTTCGAGTTGTCCAGGTAACCTGGACACGAATCACCCCACGAGAGACATGGTAATCCTGCCTCTCTTGAAAGCCGGTGCAACTTGTATCGCGCCCCGACTGGGTTGCGTTTCTCAAACCTGATGCGAGCTGCATCAAGTTTGGCGAGCCAGGCCTCACGGCCAATACACTCGATGTTGTGGATATGGGCATTCCATCCCTGCACCAAGGCTATGCCGTCTAGAACACGGCTACCATTGTACCACCGATGCTTGAAGAACGCATCGGTGAAGAACTCTTCCTCCGCACGGATACTTTCCGTGCTGGAATCAAGAGGGAAAATCTTCCTGCAATCGAACAACGGGATGCGATCCCGTTCGGTAGTCTTGCCGGCCAACCGGTCCAACTCTCTGGATGGCGGCATCCACGGAGACCTTACTTAAGGAGCGTGGCGCAGGGCATTTTGGTCCCTGGCCTCTTGATTGGTGCCAGCATGAGCACTGGCACCAGTGTTGCCCCGATCCCTTGAATTGATTGGCCCTTGGTGATGCATGGGTGCATCACCACCATCACCACGCGTCCTATCGATATACGGACTTGTGTGAGGAGGAGATTCATCGGAATAATCACTCGATCCGAAGATCTCAGCCATGATACCGCCGCGCTGACCAGAGCCAGTCAGCCTGGCTCTTGCAGTGTCCGCCCCGGGTGATCCGGAGGCGTGAGGCGTCGCCTTCGAGTCGGATGCATCATCCAACTCGCCAGAATAGATGAGCTCTATCTCAGACTCGTCTTGATTACGACTCGCAGTACCCACTGCAGAGGCAGCGGATGTACCGGTCGCACGTGGCGACTCACCACGTGAAGGATTCATGACAACAGGTGACGAATCGCCTGCTGCCGAGGCGCGAGAGGCACTTTCCGCGGCCGCACGCATGCGGGCTGCCGCTCTTCTTGCTGCTACAGTAGCAGCTCGCGTGGTTTTTGAAATTATGTGTTGGATTGACAAATGAATGGAATTGGACCAACAAGTGCTCCCTTTACCAGGGGGATTCAACGTTGGTCACCCTGTCCCAATCACTTCTAATTCAATCAACGGGTGGTTGATGGTTAGGGGGGGGTGATGTAACGGGGTAGTCTGTTACATGAAATTGACACCAAACGGTGTGAATTGGAATATTGTCTTGTATGACAATATTCTACCAATATTATCCGGGATGGTTAGTATTGAAGGAACATTATCCCCTTTTGGATAACATTCATGCGCTGCTCCAAGATTATTTGATTTAAGACACACCAACCATAGATTGCCACCAATCGCTGCTAGACACGCGCAATGAGTGGTGAGCAGGTTGTCGTCATACGAAGGCGTAGTTTAATGCAGTTAGATAAAGATAAAAGCTGTATCGATAGCTTAATACACTAAAAACGGTTCTCTTTTTACCTTTACTCAGCTTAATCGTTAAGTAGACTAGCTGTCTCTCCACGTACTAGTGTACGTAAAGTTTCGCGGCACCCCAAATAAAGGGTGCCCCGTTACATCTTGTCTGGACCTGTCAGGTCTACAGATCGCTTCAAAACGTTGCTGATTTTCCCTAGGGTGACCACGACTCCATACCCTCCAGCATCCACGGACACAGAGCTTCCTGGGGTGAGGCCTAAATGTCTTTGCTTCTCCGTGCGGATATCCTTGCAGAGAATTTGTGTTAGGATATGGACAATGGTGACCATGTTAAAGGTGAACACGTATAGCACCACTTATTTCAAACCCTAGCCCCTAACTTTCGTTTTAAGTAGTTCCCATATTTATTTAAAATTTGGCAGTCTCAGCCATATTGAAGGTGAAAGATTTTACTAACGCTAGATGATAATCATCGGTGCACGCGCTTTAAAGGTGAAATTGCTGGAAGAAAAAATTGAAGAATAACTAGTTGCGAAAGATTATCGAAGTCGTTGGATCAGGTGTTTGAGACGGCTATTTATCAAAGCAATAACTGCCAGTTTAATGCTCGAATTGGAAATTGGCGCAAGCTTCATTGCCAAGTCCTTATCATCGCTTTATCTACTTTTGCATTCATTACGCTTATATGTATCAAATATTAGGCAAATTTTAACCGCTGAGTTCATTTCTATTCGTCTGGGTCATTCTGATTTGTTACCGGAAGTAGCTCAGCGATATGCCTAATTTTCATCAGAAGCAGATCCCAAATGTTCAATTTACCATTACTCTTTTCTTACTTAACCGTGCAAAGTAGCACGAAGCGCACGGATTGATGCAGCACCGAGTCTGGTTTACTCAATCCGCTTACATAGACCACGTTGTGTCACGCGTTAAAAGTGTAATCAGGGGCTGTTTTCGCTGTTTGCGGCACCAATTTTATTTGTTGATGCCTCTCTTAAATTCATAATCATCTATGAAGATGTGGTGAAGCGAGTTTTATGGAATGATGAGCTCAAAGGTGGATGAGTCGGATGGACACGGGGCCTCGCTGCCAGAGAAAGGGTACCGGAGAATTGGGAGTCACAGGTAAGGAGCGACCGTTGGGTCCAACCATGACGAGCAATTCAGGTTATCACTGACGAGGTCAAACCGACCGACAATAGCAGTTAAACGGTATCGATGCGGATCTTCTTAACCACTCGTCGGCCAGCCTGGTCGCCTATGGTGGGTCTCGGTTATTTGTAGGCCGACCTGGCCACTCATCGGCCAATCTGGTCACCCATAGGTCAACTTGGCCTCTCAAGGAATGGTGGCTCCTGGACACTCATCATAGAGAACCCAGGTGCAAGTCAAAAATAGATTAAATGAGTTTAAAGGATAGGATAGCACAACATATTACTCAATTTGCTATCTAAGTAGCACGACGTATCGTGCGCGATAAAACTTGTAATTCTATTAACCTGTTACAGCCCAGGGGATCTGCTAGTCCCACCCGTCGAATAGGCAGTTGTCATTAAGATATAAGCGTAACTAGAACCCCAGAAAAGTACATTGGCTTGTGAGTTCGTGAAGTAGCACCCCCCAACTCAATCCCGCTATAGAGAAGAGGTCTCCATACCCTAGTGGTAAGAGAGAAGACACAGAAAGGCCAGGCGGTAAATACACGTCGTACAAGTAAAGGCCAGGCGCCACCAGCACCTGAGACAGCTGGTTATGAGACCACTCTCGACCAAGTCGATCGAGTGGCCGCCAAAATCGGATCCAGACCGAAGCATGACTGCTCGCCCCCTCCCAGGTCGACCTCCATCAAGGCCGACGTCTACAGTCATCACCAAGTCCTCCGAAGAGTAAAACCGCAAGCCGACGGGAACACAAGGTGAATCAAGAATTACAAGCACACAAGGTGAATCAAAAATTACAAGCGGCATCGAGACAATCCCTCGAACAGTTGGTAGTCCGGCACAGTGAGTGGTTTTGGGTCTCGTCAAACCATTTTTGGCAACCCACTCCACCACAGAGACGTCACTTGTGTAATGGAGCACACCTTTTTCAGACAACAGAATGAATCTTGCACTGCTGACAGTGCAAGGGTGCATGCGTCATACTACGTCACGTACACGTACGTGCAGAGAAAGATTGCCAAACGAAGAAAGAGTAATCATTAAAAGTAAAAATTAGAACCGTATTTGGGAAAGTTAATTCTGTCTGAACAAATTCTATTTGGTTTACACTTAACTATATCTAAATACAAACATGTACTGTAACTACCTGCTCACCACTCATTGCGTTCTTCTGTCGTGGCTAGACTGTGTTGTTGATATCTTTGTCCTACATCAACCAATGAGTAGTGTATTACATCTGCAAAGCAACATTATCTATTAGGATAATATAGTAAGAACACTATGTTTGTCTAAACATATGATTTATACCAAATATTTACTTTACAAATATCATGTAAAGCAAGCACCTCGTTACAACTCGCGTGTGCTAATATACGTGCGTCGTATTAATGAACTTGACTATTACCAGTTCGTTAATGAACGAAACCTCTATCGCCAGTACTTTACCCTGTAACCTTTTTCCTTTTAAGGCACGTTATATCACTACTTCTTCTGTTTCAACCACGTATGAGATCCATGCACATTTTACGTTATCCCTAGTACATCGAAAGCGATGGTGCGTCTCAATTCATGGCGTCCGTACAGGTATTGCACTCAGCACTTCAGCACTTGGCCATTCGATTCTTCTGACGTCGTAATCACCACAGTAGCTACATCAAAATAGTAGCTACGTATTCAAATATAATATGAGGTTAAGTGTGCGTACGCAACGGCTTAACCTATTATTACATCTATACGTCTGTACGTGCAAATCAAAAAATCTTTGGTAGAGGCTTCACAACGTCAATTGGCCTTAGTGTAGAAATAGCTTTCCATTCATATGTTTTCTTTTGAAAGATCAATATCGCCTTTCATGACCTCTATTTCATCTTCTCCGTAATAAAGGAATTAACACCTTACTTTTAATCTAACAGATGCCCTTCTAATCAGCGTGCCTTTTAATTGGCATCGCGGACATACGGGACACGGCCCAGTTCATGGGGAACATTTTTTACTCGAGACGAATGTCTTTGTGCCATCGTCATACAGGTTCGATGAGGAGGATGCGGCACGTCAAAAAGTATCGCAGATGACTGTGGTGACAAGGCCGCACTTACGGGTTTTTAAAAATGGATTGTTTTGCGCTTTTTAAAAATTGCACGAGTTGTTGTAGCGCATGGGATTGGACTGTGGTCAGGAATTAAAGAGTGTGGTATAGTTTAGAAACGAATTGTACTAATTTTGATATTTTGAGCTTTGAACGGACAATTAAGTTAACAGTAATGGCTAATTGAGTACTTTTTGGGATCTACCCCTGACGAAATTGGAGTGTATTTCTGAGCTACTTCTGTCAAAAATCAGAAGGACCCAGCCGAATAATAAATGAACTCAGCCGGTTATAATTTGACTATATCAAAGGGCGAGCTCCAAAAATTTCCCTCCTATCATAGTAGATTAATCGTTGTGCACCATCCACGGGACTTTATATATCCTCCCTTACTAGACTTCCTCTTCTCTCTCGTCTCTACAGCAGACAATTGTAAATAAATAGCACTTATCAGTTTAGCTGTGTGGTCCCTTCCATGGCTTCGGCATAAAAACCACTGTGTCCAAGTGATGATAATTATCATGCTTCATCAAACATTATTGAAGACAGAGTTAAGCGCTGCAGTCGTGCGAGAGATCTGTCTAGGATCGATCTCGTGCCGATTCCTAGCACAGCAGCACAGTATCTTCATTTTCAACAACAGGCATCTTGTGAATTAACAACGCGATGACGTTGCACGACTTGGCATTGCAATAAATTTTTACAACACGCAGATGCTGAGAACAAGGGATAAAAGCAACAACTTCACTTCTTTGTTAGAGCGCGAAGACCGATCGACAAACACATGGACATCATCGCTTAAGCTGTCAGATATCATTTCAGCAATTAAATCCTGACAAAGAGATGAGCAGAGTGCACGAAGAACACTGGTTATTTAAGTAAATCTTATCTCATGGCCGACGATTTCTACAATTTTCAATGCTCTTGAGTATCCATGCCTGTCGCCAACGGCATATTTGGGTAATAGCACAGTATTTATCATAACGTTCACGCCACGGTCTTTACTCGGAATCTTGTTCAGACCGAAACATGCTTGGCACAGCAGTAGCTTATATACCATTGCAACCTAAGTATCATACCTGGGACTCAGGTGCGCAATGGCTTCATGTGACAATATCTGGATTATCTGAACTAATACTAGCAATTTTCTGACGATTTCTCGCTCCTTGTCTGCTGCCAACCGCCACAGCTATCTGATCCACCACTGAGCCCAAAGCCGACAGCAGTGGCGGTTGAAGCCTCGTAGTACGACTCAACTCACATAAGCAGCAAAATTCACTTGCAATCAA